AATCGTTTCTCGGAATGTCCTCGGAATTGTGGTTCTCGGTATTTCCTCGGAATTTTCCGAGGAAATTCCGAGGAAACTGGAATTTCCGACGAAAATTTTCCGACGACCTGTTCCGTCGGTATATCCTCGGAATACCTATATTCCGACGACATTCCGACGAATTTTTCCGTCAGAATCGCCGTGTTTTCTTGTAGTGTTATAATATATTAAATAATAATAGTTTGATGTGAAGAACCTCTGTATAAGAATCTATGTGATAATGTTGTCCTAAACTACGGAAACGTGATCATGAACTCAAAAGCTTGCCTCTCCTCTACATTCCACTTGAAGCTTGATTCATGATTGCGAACAATTTATCCCCCTTCCAAACAGCAGTGAGAGTTGGAGTAGGTCCTGCCATCTTGGAATGCGCCAGTGACATAACCGAGTAAGAGTTGGCTGTTTAAAAACTGCTTAAACTAGAGCTTCCAAGAAAGATAATTCGTGTCACTTAATTTTAGAGTAAGAACTTGAGTAATATAAAGAGTAGCAGAAGTAAAAACATCTAAAGTATATAGTTTCATGACTCTGAAACCATGTAAGTTAAATAGAAGTAGAGTTTGACAAAGGTTTAAGAATGTAAGAATAGACTAAAGCTCCATAATAGTCTAGGGCTGGGCATTTTATTCGTTAAATTTGATTCGATTCGTTATTTGTCTCGATTCGATCCGAAAATTCCGGATATCTGTTAACTTCCGAATCAAAGCAAATACTAAAAATCAATATCCGTTAAAATCGAAGCAAATCACAAATAGTAAAATTTTGGGAAGCGGATATCCGATCCGATCCGAAAATATATAAATATATGTATATTTTGATTATATTTAAAATTTTAAATGTATAAAATTATTATTATAGCTTATGATTTGACTAATTAGATTCACACTATTACTTATATAAAATTATGAGATAAAAAGAAGAGAAACATTATGAAAATTATAAAAAAATCTTAAGTTTTATGTTATTATAGTTGTTAACTTAAACATAAAAAAATTATAAAATATGTAAATTCACTACTTCTTTATATTTTATTTTATATATCATGTAAAAAAATTTTACAAAGTAAATTTATATAAGATTATTTGTAACGGATGAGATATTCGCAAATATTCGTAACTATCCGCAAATATCTGTTTATTTTCCGGATATCCGTTTTTCCGGATATACGTATTTTTCCGAAGCAAAGAAAATACCAAAATCAGATATCCGTAACATACAAGGCAAATCACAAATACCTTCGAAAACCCGGATATCCGATCCGTGCCCACCCCTACATAATACATTCTAGACATAAGGAATTTCCTTTGAAATGTATATGATCTCTGTGGTCCCAAAACTTTAATGGTCGATGTGCTTAAGAGAAGAGAACTTTTCTTAGTGACTAATTACTCTGGTGCAGAGCTTGTACCGCCTACATCTTTCTAGTGAATTATTGTCCATTTTGAAGTCAACATTACCGTTGCTTATTTTTCTTGAGTGCGTTTACTTAGTGTGTGATTGGCAAAGCAAAGTAGGGAGGAGCAGCTAAAGCAAGAGCGGAGCGGGGAGCTGTGTGTTGTGAACGTGAGTTGTGAGCTGTAAATATCACTTGTGAATAAAAATTGATAATTTAAAATATATCAAAATAAATATTTAGTCTAATTTATTTATAATATAAACTATTAAAAGATATGAACTAGCATTAAAAATTATTAGAAAATAAAAATTATTAAAATTTAAATTCAAAGTAAAATGTGAATAAAAAATCTATCTTTTTTTCTTCATATTTTCTGCAATATTGTTTCGATTACCCACCATATGTGCATTGTATGGCACCATCCTCGACCTCGTTCTATTCTCATTAGTACTCTATCACGGGATGGACCCAAATATTCATTTTCAAGCAACGACATCACTGCTCTAAGGAAATTTTGGTTGTAATAAATAATTAGATTTTGATGGGTTTTGTAGATACACAGAAATTTGTTTGATTTCATCATTGACTTAGTCATATATGTTTATATAACTATTACAATACAATAATTTTATAGTTTACATGTTAATATTAATTTTTGCAATAATTTCTGATTGTATATTTATCTTGTTAGATTTGCATTTGATTATTAACAAATTAATATATACATGAAAATTTATATTTTAAAACTATTTAATAATAATTTTTGATCCGGATTTTAAAATCGGATTACCGTTTAGCAAATTTATGTTTATTTAGATAATTTACTATTGTATATATAAAAATATATGTTAATTTTATACATGTATTATATAGTTAATAATGTTAACATGGTCTGCTAACGTATTATTCTCTCTGTTCCTAAAAGATGTATATTATAGAAAAAAAATTTGTTTCAAAAAGATGTATTTTTTACCTTTTCAATGAATGATTTAATGAAAAAATTGTAAGTTTCAAAAAAATTAATGGTGTTTATTGAGTTTCTATTGGTTAAAAGTTATGGAAAATTGTTATTCACAAAAAATAATGCATTTACAATCAAAATTAAATAAGTTTTCTTAATATTTGTGAAAAGTATAGAACATGGATTATTTAGGAACAGAGGGAGTATAATATTTTTTATTTATGTAAATAAAATAGATTAATTTGTCAATTTATATAGTTTTATAATATTTACTTCAATATAATAATAGTCTTATAATATAATAGATTATGACTATAAAATATATAAAAGGATATAATTTTTTATTTTACATTTTATAAAAGATAATCGAATGTATATATATATATATATATTAATGTATAATTATATTCAATGAAATATATTTAGTAAAATTTTCTGATGATCGTCACTGATTCATTTGGTCCGGTCTTCCAAATTTTTAAAAATTCAACAGGTAGAAAAAAAAAACATGTCAACTTTTCTCAATATGTAGGTCTATTGTTTAGCAATATAGAATTCACAAAACTTGTCATTTTACATGAAAAACAAAAGACACTCTTTAAATTCAAAACCTAACCAAATCACAACTGAACCGAACTAAAATAACTTTACCGAACCAAATGTAGCCAAAAAATAGAACCCGGTTCTCGTTGGACCAATTTGGCTGATCGTACCAACTAATTTGACATGTTTATCGACTCACCTTCCCATGTTTTCACCAACCACTTTAAAAATAACAAAAAGCTTCCAAAAGCTTATGTCTTTTATTTTCTTGGACAAAACAAAAGGCTTATGTCTAAAGGAAGCTTCATCATCCTTTGTGGCGTAGAAAGCAGTTTGAGTGATTAAACTTTTTACGTCCACTTGAAAGTTTTCTTTTTTCTTCTTTTTGGATTTTATCTGATCACACGTTTGTGTCTCTGAATCTATCCCTTGTATCCGCATCTCGATTCGTTTTTTAAATATTAAATATATATTTTAAGGAGAAAGCTTTCTTTAGCTCTGAGATCCATTTGATATCGATTGCCCTCTCTCTAGTCAATCCCTGGTAAGCCAAATATCTCATTCTTTTCTTTCAAACTGATGATGTGAAATCTAACAAAAACGTAATCTTTTATTGAATGTTTTTCATTTTCTTCTGAATCTTCCACATTTACGTTATTTTGATAAAGATTCATACTTTCTCTGAGAAAATCTAATTTTCTAATTAAAAAATCACATATTTTTTAGAATCTGGTTTGCTTATATTCAGGTAATCAAAAATATCATTCATTTAACATAAAAGTTTTGATTTTTGAGATATTTGGTTGCTAATCTTGCAAGATTCTTCATTATCACAAGCTTTTTTTCTTTGATTAATTTAAATAGTTAGTTAATCACAAATATTATTCACTAAACAAAAAAAAAGTTTTGATTTTTGTTTTTTTTTTTCTGAAGATGGCGGATGCAGCAAAAGATTTAGCTTCAGGGACTGTTGGAGGAGCGGCTCAGCTCATTGTAGGTCACCCTTTTGACACTATCAAGGTCAAACTTCAGAGCCAACCTGCTCCAGCACCTGGGCAACCACCTAGGTACACTGGCGCAATCGATGCGGTTAAACAGACCGTTGCTGCTGAAGGACCTAAAGGTTTGTACAAAGGTATGGGAGCTCCTCTTGCAACCGTTGCTGCCTTCAACGCGGTTTTGTTCACTGTTAGAGGTCAGATGGAAGGGATCTTTAGGTCTGAACCTGGTGTCCCCTTGACCATTAGTCAACAGTTTGTGTGCGGTGCGGGTGCTGGTTTCGCTGTCTCGTTCCTTGCTTGTCCCACTGAGTTGATCAAATGCAGGTTAGTTTCTTACCAACTGCGCTGCGGTTCTAATAGTAACAAAAACGTATAGATACATAGAGAGAGAGATTTTGTTACTATTGCGGTTCTAATAGTAACAAAAACGTATAGATACATATATAGAGAGAGATTTTTGTTACTATTGAGGTTCTAATAGTAACAAAAACGTATAGATACATATATATAGAGAGATTTTTGTTACTATTAATTGCGCGGTGCTGTTTCTTGAGTTACTAGAGACTAGAAACAGGACTAAAAGATGTCTCTTTGTGTTTTGTTCAGGTTACAAGCACAAGGTGCATTAGCTGGCACCTCTACCACAGGCTCAGTGGTTGCAGCCGTGAAATACGGTGGACCAATGGATGTAGCCCGTCATGTGCTACGATCAGAAGGTGGAGCTAGAGGTTTATTCAAAGGTTTATTCCCTACATTTGCTCGTGAAGTTCCGGGGAATGCAACAATGTTTGCAGCCTATGAAGGTTTCAAGAGGTTTTTAGCTGGTGGTTCAGATACTTCAAGGTTAGGACAAGGATCATTGATCATGGCTGGTGGAGTCGCTGGTGCATCCTATTGGGGGTTTGTGTACCCGACCGATGTGGTGAAGAGTGTTCTTCAAGTTGATGATTATAGAAACCCTAAGTACGCTGGTTCGATGGATGCTTTTAGGAAGATTATGAAAGCGGAAGGGGTTAAAGGTTTGTATAAAGGGTTTGGTCCAGCCATGGCTAGGAGTGTTCCTGCTAATGCTGCTTGCTTCTTGGCTTATGAGATGACAAGGTCTAGCTTGGGATAAACCGGTTTGGTTTGGGTTTTAAATGTTGGTTCAATTTGTTGTTGTTCCATTTGATTTATTTTCGGTTATTAAATGATTCTTTTAAATTTTGAAGGAAAAAATTCATTCTCTTTTTACACAATTTGTTTCTGAAACTCGAAAGTGGTTATCAAAAATGCTTTTTTAACAGATTAAAGTGAACAACCTAACCGAACCACAACAAGGCTTTATTGGTAAACATAGGCACATTAAAAGTATGTTACGTGGCTGATAACAAACCAGCGTATGACTAGTGCCTTGAACAGTAGAGTGGCAGCAGGAAAAAAAGGAGGGAACTCATAACCGCTTTATTCTTTTTCTTTTTACATTTTTCTTATTATTTGTATAACCTTTTCACTATAAATACTAAAAGGAATATCATAGTACGAGAAAATAATAGCAAGTCTGATGGAGACGATGGAGCAACAAAAACATTCACTCTCTTCTTTGCCTATGCTCTCTAGGCTTGAGCATTTGGATTTTGTTGTAAATCGATCTATTATTAAGCTAAAAGATAGTTTAATTACGTAGTGATGGATTTACTTTTCAGTACATTTATTTTACTATGATTTGTATTGTTTGTCATGTAGATAAAGAGCTTAGAAAGACAACAAAACCTTCCGAAATGGAAAGATGAAAGCTCATCTACTACAGGTGGATTGATCGATAGAGGCACAGTGGTTAGAGAAGCTTATTTCAAAGGATCGTTACTAGATAGAATTGCAGCTTTAGAGACCAGACTTTTTCAGGTATGGTTTTGACTATAGATTTTAGACAAGCGTTCTTTTTAAGTTTTGAGTATTGCGTCTTATATATGGTTTTTCTATATAATGTGTGTAATGTTTATAAGATATGTTTGGAGTTGGAATCGAGCACTGCATCTTCTACTTCAACCGGAGGGTCCGGTGAAACATCAAGCCAAAAGATTAAGAGAGATTTGACAAAGACATTGCCCATTTTCACTAGCAACATTAATCCTTTTCATATGCCCTTGCAGCATCCACAAGACCTTCGGGTATTTATGTTTACTATTTTGTAAATTTATACATATATAAAGTGGTTAAACGTTCACTAACATTTCATCATAATATGTAGGAAACTGAAGAGATGATTGAAGAAGAAACCGAAGAGATGATTGAAGAAAAAGAGGAAGAGGAAGAGGAAGAGAAAGAGATGAATGTTGAGAAACCATTACTGGAGAATGTAGGGAATGGGATATACCCCCTCACAAGGCCCATCAAGTGGAGGAATCCAGCCCAACGCGATAGTATATTCGGCCCAAAGGGACTGTCAAAACGACTCCACACGAAGCGCGTTTAGCAGCGCGACTGGGAGAGTCGGCTAAAGTACAAGTTAAAGGGGGCTACTAAACAGGCCTAACAAGATTTAAGCCCAACAAGG